AGTCGTCTATTCCGGCTAGGGCAACGAGCGGGGCGATCGCCAGCAAGGACCGCTGGTGTAGCCATGCTCGAATGTCACGGAACGTCATCTCGGGGTGATCTGTATCAAGGGCCGAGAGGGGCCGAAAATGGCTATGTAAAATGTATCAAAGGTTTGCCACACGTGGAGACAAAAGCACAATGCAAACAATCAAGGTGAGCAAAAGTCCGGGGGGATTTAGGGGTGTTTGGCTTCAAACACATGGTGCGCCTTTTGCTCTTTGCACGGGTGTCCTGACGTACTGCCAAACGAGGTTGCACTTCGGCGGCAGGTTCAGGAAGATGGGTCGTGCGAAGGCAACCGCGTTGGTCGGACCCTCCGGGCTCGCGCGGGACACGGACGCCCTTCGGGTCGTAGTGGTTGCGGTGCTGGTCGAGGTCCGTCACAGGGCGCTCAAGTGGTTGAGACGGTCCGCCCCCTCGAGGTCTTGGCAGGTCCAGAGCTTGAGGCGGCAAAAGCACAGCCCCATCACTCTGGCGAGGTCCGAGGACTCAAGGATGCGGGTGGAACTGGGGTCGTAGCGATAGCGCCGCATGTCGTAAAAGGGCGTGGCGGGTTGGTGGCGTTGTCGCTTCTGGCTGGGGAGCAGGTCGACTCGGAGTGGCTTGATGCGTCCCAGGTTGCGCTGGGCGACTTGCTCCAGCTTCTCTTGGGTCCAGAAGGTCCTGTGCATGTATGGCAGTTTCTGAGCCGTCTGCATGTTGTTCATGATCATGTCGGCCAGATAGGCGCGGGGGTCCTTGGCTTGTCGCAGGTCGGATGCGATCTCGTTGATGTGGACCTTCATCTGTTGGATGAGCTTGCCGGTCGTGTCCTCCTCCCAGCGAAGAAGGTAGAGCATGTAGCGCCGGTCGTCGTCGCCGGTGATGGCCTCTGCCAATTGGTCCGTCTCGTGTGCTCCAGCGGTGGCGCGTACCACGAGGCACTTCTGGGCCGGCACGAAGCGTTCTGTGTCGTCTTGGCCGGCTGCGGTCAGGGCCTCCCCTCGGGATGCGGCTTTGGCGTCACTGTAGGTTTTCCAGGGGTGGTATTGCTGGAGGCACTCGGGACAGAAGAACTGGCCGTGCTCGGTGATGTTGGCGGTGGCGCGCAGCCAATGTGACGAATGTACCACCGCTTTGCACGACTGACGTCGGCAGATAAGTGCTCGTCGGTGGACGGGAGGACGCGGGTGATGAAATCGGTGAGGTGTGTGGGATAGTCGTCAGAGTCCAAGAACTCAAGGAGGGTCCCGGTGCTGTTTGCGCGCAATGCCTCGGTGAGGTGCTGCCTCTCCCATTTGTGGAACATGAGGAAAGGTCTCGTCGGTCCTCGGGTGCCAGGTTGATGAGGTCGAGGCACATGGTTTCGGCGAGGAACTTGGAGTGGTCGCTGATGAGGCGGCGCAGGTGGTTGTTGGAGGTTCCGGGGTGGATCTCGCGCAAGGAGTCCATCATGTCCATGTGGGTGTTCGTGCGGATGGTGCCGACGGCCTTGTTGGTCATGTAGTCCAAGCGGCGTCGCCATGCTCGTCGGCACAGCTTGCTGAACACCTCGAGGGTGAATGGCCGGCGGTTCTTCACGTCGAGGGCTGGTACCCTGATCCAGCGGCGGTTGACCTGGTCCCACCTGTGCACGGTGATGTAGGCGTCGTGAGCGTCGTCCGTCTCTGGCACCGCAATCTGTAAGGTCGGTGGGGCGATGGTATGGTCGCTGATCATGGCCGCGAGGTCGGGGTGCTCTGCGATGGTGTTGTACGGTGCGTGTTCTGCAATCAGGGAGTTCGGGTCGGCCAGGAGCTCCTCGAACTGGAACCACGGCACGCTACTGGTGTCGCAGGTAGCGCACCCGTAGCACGCCCCGACCCACTTGTTTCGCCAGTCGGTTTCCTCTGAGAAGCAGAGGGGCATGATGTACTGGGATTGGTATGGGATCTGGCAGAACGAGCACTGCAGTGTGGCTGGTGTTGGATTCAGGTTGTGCCAGTCCAGCAGCAGGTAGCGTGTCCGTGTGTCCGGCTCGGTGTTGGTCGACTCCATGAAGAGGTCGATCGCGTCCGTGGTGGAGAGGCGGGGATTCTCGGTGCGGAAGGTCTGGAACCTCGAGAGGACGCCGGTGTTGTAGGACCGCAGGAGGAGCTCGCAGACTGCGTCGGTCTCGCGAAGTGCCATGTTGTGCGAAGGGGGTGCGATATCGGATACACAAAAACCAGCCTGAAAATTCCTTCGGAATTGGAGGTGGCGCTTGCCGAACTCACGCAGGAGTCGGTAGTGTGCCGGGTGTGAGTCAAAGGGGGGGGGTTGGTTGGGCCAGGGGGGTGTGTCTAGGTGACTCGGGTCCAAGGATGGCCCGTTGATGGGGGGGATCTGTACGACGCGCCACACCGGCACAAACGTCGTGTTAGATGACACGCCACACCGGCACAAATGTCATCCCGAGGGGTGGAGCTGTCCCGTAGGACCAACTCCCTGCGGTGTGAAGGTGACCGGGGTCGGCCAGTTTGTCATCAGGGATCCGACCCGAAGAAACCGAGGGTAATCCACAGGGGATCCGAAGTGGGGTGAAAGACCGGTCGGGTTCGGGGCAGGCGAGTGGGGATTGGTCACCGCAGTATGGGCCTCAGCAGTGGGTCGGTTTGTCAAGGGGTATCCTCTCGAATCAAACAGGGGGGACGAAGAGGGTCGACCCGGGCTCGAGGCTCTCAGCGCTTTTGCGCGGTCCGAAGATGGATCTCTCTTCGGGAAAAGGGGGCCTCAGGCGGTCGCCTAGGCATGGGTGTCACCTGTGCGGTATGAGGGTCATCGCCCTATTGCTGGCCCACCATCGCACGGGACATGGACTTGGTGGGTCAACTTAGGGTGGCGGGTTTGGAGACTCCTCGGTGCCGCCTGGTCAGTAGCGGGAGTCCTGGCTCTGCTCAGTCTTAGAGCTCCCGGTTGAAGCGCAGGTGTCCGTCGGGGCCGAGCAGGATGCCCTCGATGGTCGCCATGGTGCGTTGTTCGGGGGTCAGGAAATTGGAAATTGTCTCAATGATGGTCTCCCCGAAGGTGATTGCCATGTTGTCCACAAAAGGGTCTCGCCGGGAGGCGCGACAGAGCTGCCTCCCGAAGGTAAGCCAGGAACAGGTCAGTTGTTGTAGCATGTGCTGCCGGTTGGCGCTGTTGAGCAGCTGGAGTTGTTGGTGAACGTGTTGCTGGATAATCCAGCGCAGCAGGCTCCTGAGAGGTGTGACCTGCGTAGTTGGTTCCACGGGTACAAGAAAAAGGCCCCCGAAGTCATTGCCGTACACATTGGTGGGGGTGCGCGAGAAGATGCCGTAGTTGGTCAGGTGCCATTGCAAGCCGATGTGGTCGAGGACGGAGGGGAATTCCGGTAGCAGTTCCGGATTGATCAGGAAGGTGGCATCTTCGTGTACCCGCGCGCGGATGTGTCCGGCACGCTGGGTTGACAGCAGGCCTTGTGTGCTGTCGTCACGGTCGATGCCTGGCGGCTGGAGCCACTGGACTAAGTCGTGATGTTGGTTGGATGGTGTGGGGGGTGCCGCCTTGGATGGTGTGGTGGGTTGCGGGCGTGGTGAAGGCATGTGGTGCGGGACGGGCCCGGTCGATGTGGTGGTCGCCTCCGGGAATCGGGCCTGTCTGGGAGTGTCGCGAGCCGTGGGTGTCGCGAAGTTGACGGTCCGCGGTGGTGTCATAGCTCGGGAGTATCCCGGTTGTGTGGAGCGGCCTCGCTGCTGTCGGGGGTGTTGTTCCGTTGGCGAGACGGGTTCAATGTGCTTGGCGGGCCACGTGGTACCGCGTATGGCATCTGGTAGGTGCACGGATCGGGGTACCGAACGTTCATGTGGTGAATGGGCGTGTTCCACTCGCCGTGAAGGTGGTCGCGGAGGATTTCAAAGGCCTCCCGCCTGGACACGAAGCGCCATTCACGGTGGGCTGTGTCATAGTGGATGCCCACGCCGGTGTTGGGTCTGGCATGGTGCACGAAGCGCAGCCAGGCAAGAAGGTCACCATGCAGGACTGAGTCGCTGTGAACATGGCGGCATTCGGCACCACTGTCGCAAAAGCCTTCTGGATGCCGGGCCTGTTGTCGAAGATGTCGGTAACAGATGTTGTCTCGCGGCATCCAACGCGCATCAACGAACTCCGGATGCAAAAAGGCGCACTGGTGGGCAGAGGCAGGTGCACGTCCCCTGCAGCCGGAATGGTTGATGAACTGGTTGCAGACCTGATTGCCCTGCAAGATGTTGCCCGGACCGACCGCCTCGGGCAGGATCGAAAGATGGTCCTGAAGGGCCCGGTACAGTCGTTCATAATCCGGGTCGAGCTCGGTCATTTCCATGAGCTGGTACTCCTCCACGATGGATGCGAAATTCGCTGGAGCAGTCATGGCGGTCGAGTAGGCAGGGCAGGTAGGTCGGAAAGAAAAGAAAAATTTGGCTAATTCGCCAAAATGGCGAACGGAGCATGAATCAAGCAGTGTCATCCTGCAGGCACTCAAGGTTCGAATCTGAGTGTGATTCAAATGCCTTCCGCTATCGGTTGTTACTTTTAACACAAGTGTTAACCGCAACAATCGATGTAGGCAATTACATTTCTTTAACACTGCAGACAAGCCAATTTCGGGCATGCGCGATCTGCTGGTGCTCCGTTGTTGTAGCATGCGCTTGCTTGCTTGCTTGGAAGCAGTTTATTTCCGGTGCCGAGATAGCAACACCTGAAAGTGTCGCGTGACAGTATCTGACTAAAACCTGGAGCAAGAGCAAATGAACCAGGTATGGCTAATAGCTTGGCTTGAACGTCTTTTACAGGTCTCAGTCCTTCTTGCCAACAAGGTTGCACAAAAGCACCGTTCCTGTGATACCAAAGTGGGCCATCCCCACGACCAAGCCTTATCGCTACAAGGGATCCCCGTGGCATCGCAGAACTTGGCACGAAGGGAGAAGGACTCGGCCCAAGCTGCCTGCCAAATTGCCAAGTGGCTCATGACCGTTTTGCAAGGTACGTTGAATCGACCTTGGTCCACGTCCACACTGGTGAGGATGTTGCCCGTGGCGAAGAAGCAGCCATCGCCTACCTCCAGAGTCTCTGGCAAAGTCACCTGCGGCACACTGCCGCGCGACGTCTCTGAACAGGTTGGGACGCCCAACACTCCAAGAGCATCTCAAAAAGGGCCTGAAAAAGGATGACTGGTGTCAATCCCCCTTTTTGGTAGAAGTAACAAATGCGTCATTCATGAGGTTTGCAGAAGCGGCCGAAACGGTCTCGCTCGGCCTTCCCTGGGTGGTCGTTTCCTTCATGCACGAAGTTCTCAGCGTGACTTAAGACTCATTTACCAGATTTTGCCAAGAAAAGACAGGTCAAAAGCACAACCAACACAGTCAACTCCGAAACAGCATGACACACTCTAAGCGGCCAGCTAGCTCCTGCAGGCGGGGCACCTTGTATGCCTTCTCCATGCTACGCCTCTTCCACAGGCTTTGAAACAAATCTGGCCTCAACCACATCTAGAGGCTACCCAACGGCCCTAAGGCAGCACTGTGGTTCACCACAGGCTTGCCCTCCTAAAGCAACAAGGGACATGCACAAACCTAAGTTTAGAAGACTGTCCTTCCGGAAGAGGCCCCGAGCACTTCCATGTCTGAGGGCACCCGCCCGAAAGCAATCCTTTTCTGGACGCCCAAAGCTGGAAATCACCGCCAAGCCAGAAATGGGAAGGAAGCCAGGGTCGGGCAGCTGTTCTTCAAACTCCTCATGCGGCAAATCGGTTGTTGGTGTAAGGCCTTATCAATTGCATTTGCTTCCGCCAGGCCCAAGCGAAATGTAACGCGCCCTGACAAAAACGCCTACGCGAGACCGTGTTACGCCATGTCTGCCAAAAAAACACAAATCGTTGAATCCTAAAGCAACATAGTCGGATGATTGAGCATGCAACTTTTAATTTGTGGTCCAAACTCTGGTGGTCTAACCCAATATTTACCGCTGCTCTTCCAACAGACTTGGTTGTCGCAAAGAGGTCCCAAGTCCATCGCTTGTAAGAAGGCTCTCAGCAATCGCCAAAACCAAAGACAACTTCCTGATGCTCACCACTTGCTTTTCAGGGTTTCTGCAAGGATGCATTTTGGACAAATGGAAAACCACCTTTACCAGCTGTGTCAAGGGTTTCCATGGAAAGTGAATTGTTCGCTTTACGGGGCTCTGGGTTTGCCAATCGAGTTGTTTGGCGGGTTCCAAGGTTGTCCGGCACCTGTTTGCGAGTACCAAAAGAAACCTACCGGCCTGGTGCGCTGAGAACCCGCACACAGTGGGGTGTATGCTAGGACCACCCTGCCCTTCTGAGGAACCTGCTCTGCGCACTAAGGTCGGGCAAACCGCATGTGTCAACAATGTCTGGATCACTGTGGTTCAAACAACCTCCTCTGAAATTTCCTTTAAAGGGGACCAAGGTTTCCGTTGTCGAACATTTGAAGAAACCAACCCTGGTGTGTCCCGCACCCGAGGACCATGCCGGTTAGCAATCCTATCACCACAAAGGCTCAAGTTCTGTCAGAACCTGCTGCAGTTTCTATATTTCCCCTCTTTAAACATTGCCAAGGCAAGCTCATTTTGAACAAGGACCCAAAAAGGTGATATTCAAAGTCATCCAGAACTTTCTGGCTCTCAGTAATCGCCAAGGGTTTTCGGGAACGAGCCTAGGGATTCCCGGGGTGCTCGGTCTGATTTGCCCGTCCTATGCCATCCCCTTTCGTGGCCTGCAAGCCCATGGCGCAGCCATGTCCGAAGGATGCCCCGCACATCCGGATGAACCACGGCACGATGGAGGCGTCGGCCAACATCTCCGAGGCCTTCGCATCTCAGAAGTGCATTTGCACGCGCAAAGCGGCACGCTGCGTTTGGTTGATGTTCAAACCTTCTTTTGAGAACCATGGAAGTGGACACGTGTGACAGCACCTTTGGAAGACTATGTCCTCTTGAAAAGGCCCCTTGTCCACTTCCAGGATTGTTGAAAAAGATGACTGGAAATGATGAGCCTCGCCGAACTGGTCATACAAAGTTATTTCCTGCAGGTTGACATGAAACCCAAAACCCATGGCAAGAGAAATCGGGACCACTCTTGGCGTTCCATGTTGAATGGGGGAGTGTGTTCCACTGAGTAAGGGAGACCACGCATGTGGACCAGGAACCCTCAGAATCCCTGAACATTCATTCGGGGGCGGGAAATCGCTGAGTGTCGAGGGCTCCAAAGAGCAAATCTCAAGACTACCTCAGCTTTTTGCCCCCCCCAACAAAAAAGGACATGTGTTTGAACCTGACATGTGACAACATTTCAAAGAGATCCCAAAAAGAGAGCAAAGTCCGTGCCTTAGCTTAGCCATGGGAGGGTTGAGCGAAATAGGCTTGAGGAGTATCAAGGTCATGTATAGGGGTTCCATGGGGTTCCGTTGTCATTGCTCCCTAGCGCAAAGTGCTCCGTGTGTCTCAGAAGTACTCTCAAATGCAGGTGAGGATCTTGCCTCTTGCACTATGTCAGTGCTCTTCTTCTATCATTCTGGGCGCTATTACCCCTGTGTGGTTTCCTTTAGACAAATTATCAATTCTGGCCTTCTTACCGGAAATCCTGCACGAGTTGAAATGGATGAAACCCTATCAAATGCTGGATAAACCACCCACCTACCAGCTTGAGAAGGATCCCACAACACAGCCCCCCCCCATGTACACTTCACATCAAGCCTGCTGACTCAAGGGCACAGATAGGACGTAGAAGCGATGACTGGAAGAAGTGGCCTTAAGATCCAACTCTCCGCAATGCGTTTCAATCCGTGGTTGGACCCACCCGTCTCAGTAGCCCTGAGATCGGACAAGCATGTGTTTCGATCGTCCTGTGATTTGGGAAACTTGGATTGCTCGCCCCATGTCCTCCCTACACCAACAGTAGACTATGAATAATTCTGTCAGTGGCTCATCTGTTGACTTTGATTGTATAAATTTGCGCTTCTGCTATTTTGGCACATACTGTCACATACTCATAACTTCACAAATTCTGACACATGACGCGCTCCGACTGACTGGCCAGCCAACCACCCGTCTCGCCTGCAGCACCATCGACATCTTCAGCCCAGCGATCTGTGCACGAATGCTCACCAGAGAGCGCTGAAAAGGAGGCTGCCTCAAGGCAACCGAGAAAGAGACTCCGGGCGAGGGACGGGCCTTGTGGGAAAAACGTGTGCATGTACATGGCGTTATGTAAACTTAAATTCATGGGAAATGGTTGCGGGTTGGATACTACACAGGTAAAAGGCGCTCTTTCAGGTTTTGTTCAAGGACGCCAATAAGCATGGGGTAGTGTTTACATTTCTCTTGGACTACCGAAAGGGCAAGGACTCGGTTGCAAGCCTCAAACATCTTCCTTGGCTGCCAGTCTCCAGAAAGGGGGGGTGCGTTTGACCCCCTTGTTCTGGCGCACTTCCTGAGTGGATTGATCAGAAACCGGTCTTCTTTGTTTTCTACTACCACAATGATCTCCCTGAAAAGTTTAAAGCTTAGAAACTGAGAAAGCGGGGTGTGCAGAAACAAGCATCGTCCTGAAGTTCTACAGACGCCCCCCCCCCGCCTTTTACAAAAAACACACACACACACACACACACACACCCGGACAGGAGCAAGGCAGTGAACAATGGAAATGGAACATATGCAACCCAAAACAGTCAAGGTCCATAAACTCCACAAAGAAACATGGTGGAATTGTGCTACGTAACGCAGAAGCTGTGAGCTGAAAGAACCACTTGAACCCTGTTTGGTTGGCTGATCTACGCTTTAAGTTTTAGCGTGGTAGCACAATCACCAGTCAAAACATGCATTGAACAAAGTGTGGAATTCATTGAGCAAGCGGGCCTCTGTTAGCACGTGCAACGGTCACTGGATTTGTCCTGAATTGGATCAAAGTCTTCTTCGTTGCCAATCAAGCTGCCACTTTTAAGGGTCCAAATAGCGGGAATTGACCCCCTAGTTTTTGGAGAATCCCCTGGTTGTTTCGAAACAAACCACCAGGAAACCAATCACCAGGAAACCAATCCTGCAGATTAGAGCAGTGTTGGAGGATGATCTGGAGTGTCATGTTGGCTCTCATCCCCTGTTTGGGGGGCCCCCTTTTAGTTGGCTTAAGTAGGACAATCAACAGGAAACCAACCCCTTTCGGCAAGTTAAACCCGAAAATGTGCGTTCGATGCTCATCTACAGGAGTGCAATGGTTGGTTTTAAAAGAACCCCACCAAAAAAACAACCAAACATGGTGAAGAAAATAAACATATTTCCAAAACAGAGATTCTCCAGCAAAGAACCTACGCTCGTTTTACCCTCCCTCCACGCCGAGCATCACTTTCGGAAGCAGCCGGCAAAAGGCGGCCGTCATCAGCAGCTGCATCACTGTGTGCAGAGTTGACACCTCAAAGATGGGAGCAAGTGAGTATGGTGGATTCCCTATTGCCGCTTAACCACATCCAGCCACGAAACCATGCTGCAACGCGGAAAATTGTAGGGTTCCCCGATGTGCAACGAGGGCCTAAATAAATAGCGTGTGGTCTTGGTGCAAATATCATAAGAGAAGAATGCTTGTTAGTTGTTCAGCAGTTGTGATCTGTTCTGGGAAAGTGCATGGATTCAGAACCAGGGGCATGAGCCTCCGGCATGAATTTACAATTCTCAAAGCAAGCCCAAGTGGTGGTACCTTCACAAAAACTGAACCCGTGTGTGACTTTCACACTTGGAGACCAAATCTGAGACCAAATCAAACTGGTTGTCGAAGCAAATGAGAAACTAAACTGCTCCTGTGCATCAATTGTGTTCTCCTTGAGGATCGAAATGCTGATTTGATCTGCCGAGCAAATGAGTCCATTTCTAAAACCGGGCTCAACATGTCCAAGTGATTTTTAGGTTCTAATAATTCACCAACCCCATTTCTTTTTGTGAAAGGACCCTTCATAATGGGGGAGGTCACAAACGCCGACCTGTGCCGTTGACTGGCCAGTGGTGCTCCCAAATAACGAGGACATCTATCAACATAAAGTTTAGTTTGCCCGCATAGTTGCCAAGAACAACCTGCATTCTGACGGAGTTGTAATTGTCCAACCAAGATTTCGGAGGTTTCTTTAAACGGGCTGTTTCCACTTGGCTTCCTTTTCCAAAGGCGGCCACTTGCTATAGCAAACACCCCAATAGGGGGCCCCAAAACGGTTGACCCCTGAGCGAAAAGCAACTACAAAACAGCACATCCACAAACAATGAATGAATATCCACGTAAGTATGTATGTACGTACGTATTACGTATGCAATGTATTGGGAATACGGGGGCTGCCATGTCGAGAGAACCTATAATGGGGCCGGGTCTAACAGGAAAACTAGGGAATCCACCCGTTTGGGGTTCCAAGTTGGGCCAAGCTGCAACAAAGGCGAGGATCGGGATCCACTTCAGCTTGTCCAGGAAGACCAGCGGCAAGGCGTCCTAACTAACGGACCCGGTTTACGCAGCTGCGGGCGAGGGAGCAGCATCTTCCTATCTTAAGGGGGAGTGGGGGTGGGGGTAGGGTTGGGGAAGGGGGCGGGGCGGGGGGTTCCTGAATTTCATTTGTCTAGTCGGCACAACAAAGGGAAGTGAAGCCGGAGCAAAATGGACTTGTGGGGGAGTGGGGATTTGCCAGTCTCGCCCTGAAAAGGAAAATCAGGGTCGTGGTGTAGGTGGGTGGAAGGTGAGGAGCAGGAGGAGGAGGAGGATAGGTGAGGTAGGTGGGGTAGGTGGGGATGGAGGGGGGGAAGTGGACAATGGGTCATCGAGCACCTTCCGCACTGAAACAAGCTAATAAACTCCAAAGTAGCAATCTCCACCATCAAAATCCACCTGAAGGGGCACTGCCTTTCATCTTTCTTGGCCATGCCTTTAGGTCGTCCTTTGGTGCAAGCTGGAACCCATTTGTTACATAGAACCTGTTTAGACATCAATGCGGATACTGCTTGAAATGACCTGCAAGCAAACTAGAGGCAGCCCTGAACATCGACTGCGCATGCTGCGAGACCAAAGAAGAATATCTCTGACTCTGCCAGAGTGCCGAATGAACATCTGCCAGCATCTCACTTTTCACCTCCGTCTTGTTCTTGTAAAAGGAGGCAATCCTGCAGAGTGGACGATGGGACATATGGGTATGCTTCAAAATGGCAAGCCCGCCCCCTGGACGTCACTGAACCACTGGGATTGGGTTCCCAAGTCTCAATTACAACAGTTGGGGGCCTTTTCAAACAAGGCCTCCAAAGGTGCCCAGCGTTTTGCTGAACTGCTCCCTTAGTTGTTCCCTGACTGTCCCTGGATTTATTCCTAGTTTCTGAGGTGATCCTGCGTAAAGAGACAAGCTGGGAGGGGTAAGCCTCACGTGGTCGCAGATTCAAGGAACCGAACAACAAATGGATGAACAGTAGGCAAAGCGCACTGCCAACACATTGGAAGTACACTGGAGTGGCTGGGGAGCAAAGAGGAACAGCGGGGGAACTGGTGAACACATTGGACTTGGAGCAGTTGCTGGAGTGGTCAAGTACAGTGAACTGGGCGACAGCCATTGGGATTTCTGGAAAAGCATTGCGCTAAACATCGCTAAACAGTCCAGAGGATTTGAAGAGGGATGGCCAAAAAGGATCCGGAATTCCTGGGCGGAAATGGAGCCATCAAATTCTAGGATTACCCATGTTGGTACTGAAACCTAAGATCTAAAGATGAACCATTAACCCAAACATCGACTGGTGAATTTGGCGGGCTGACAAAATGGATCTGTCTGTTCAAACAAAAGCCGAACAAACTCCTTGCCGCACCCCGGCTGTGGATACACCAGAGTCCAAGTTGGAATGCTTCTGAAAATGTACGAATAATGGAATGAAACACCTGCCGCCCGGGTAAACTCAACATGATGGCACATGTCAATGTAGCACTGGGGGTTTGTTCTGGCCGGCTGTGCTCTCATGCAATAAGACAAATGCCGTAGTGGTTAGAAGCCCGAATAGAGAACTCTTGGAATAGTCCAAATGGGCGTGTCTTTTTGCTGAGGGCGCCTTTTTGAGGTGGTTTTAATTCAAGGGGAATCAACGGGAAGCCACCAGTTGGGCCATTTGGGGGGTCTCCCCTATTTTACGACACACCAAAATAGAATCCCTCGTGGAATGGTCTCTAAGCGACCAGAGAATCCAAAAGGAAACCGAATGGAGGGGTTTCGAGCTTCTCCAAGAGTGGACACCATAGATTGCGTATGCCCAGTTCATAGGTTTGCCGGACACCAATCGATAGTTGTGTGCATTCGTGTACAAAACCAAACGCAAACGAAAAAGACACATTTCCCTGCAACTGGCGACTGACTTTCCTCATTTCCTGAGTGGATTGGCCAAAAGTCCAAACACTTTGCTTCCCACTCAAATGATCTACTAATGCTGTTCGGAATCCAGGAGGTTTCAGAAGCAAGTCCTGCGGTGCAATGATCAGTTACTTGCTCGGCCCACATGGGAACCTTCATCATTGCACGCCTTTGATTCTCAACATACTGGTGGGGCCTTGAAAAAAGCACTCACATGTTCATCGCCCCTTGGCTTCTCTTGGGGTTAAGCATCATGGGTCATTTGTGCCCAGAATACAAGCAACATTTTAGGCACCCACCCCAGATATCTCCTTCCAACAGTTGTCAACCTCCACCCAACGCTGAAGGACGGCCCTTTTTGGCACAGAGAACGCTCTCAAAACATGAGGGCCCCCAGTCAAAAGGATCACCTCCCTGTTAAACAACCTTGGAAGTTTGGCTCGTTGATTTCTTCTTGAAGCACGCGGCTATACCCTTAAGCAACGACATGTTTTCTTGTTGGCGGGGGTTGGGGATGATTGGCTTGAAAACATGCAAGCGGCACAAACCGAACGCAGCTGAGCAGCAATTGAAAGCCCACTGCGGCCTCAGGGCGCCGTGACTCAAGCTGCAGTGGCCAAATCCATTAGACAGCGCATGGGCAACATTGGCAATTGGAAACAACACAGCTCAGTACGCTTCCACAAACTAATATGGACCCTGAGAAACTCCGGACGCCGTACACCAAAAACTCTGCAGCAGTCAGCACCAGTTGGGATTTTAGTTGCTTGAGTCCACTATTTACTCTTGGTGAGTGGTGGCAGGGTTCAACCTACACCAAGTAAAAACCGCCAATACAACGAAACACGCAACCAATGTTGCAATGTGCGCAAGAAACCCGAGCCCTAACCAAAGCACAGCAAACACCAAAGGAAGCCACCCAAATGGGGTAAGGGTGAAAAGGCGTCCCTCGCCTCGCATGTGTAGGAATGTCTCCCCATTTTCCTCCGTGGTGTTCGCTGACCTCAAACGTGCGTCCAGTGCATCCAAGAATCCAGCAAGGGCATCGCAGCCTTGGGGATGAGGAGGATCCTCGGATCAGTGCATCTGCATGATTCCTTCGCTCCTGACATGTTCTGATTCAGAGCCAAGGGAAACCTTTGCAGCCAAATGGTGACTACTAGTGACGAATAGTCACTATTAAGAGCTGCTCCGGCACGTTACGGGCCATAACCGTCCCATGCCTCCCCTTTGCAATGGCTCTGAACCAGTATAAAGCGCCGGATTCACGATTCTGGTGGATTAGTTTGGGGTGTGGTTCTCCCAAAGTGAAGGATTCCCATTCTTCTCTTGTTGGGGGTGCAACTTTAGGACCCCCCCCCACCAATTTGCAACAAACGGCAACTCAGAAGCACGTCCAAATTCCAAACGCAAGGGGACGTCAAACAGCACAAGCCAAACAAAACACAAACACGGCAATCTCCAATCGAACCTGCACACATGGTGTTTGCTTTGCAAAAGAAGAACTTACAGTTACAAACAAAACCTGGTAGGGTCCCAAAACATCTAGAATCCCCTGGCTTCCGAGCTGAGTGGCCAGTACCCCGTCGCCAGCGCCGCCGCCCAGCGCCGGAAGCTGCGCACCTCCTCCGGCTTCACCAAACGGCTGGAGTCCAAGGGACCCACCACCTGGCTGAAAACTCGGATTTCGACTCCCCCCCCAGGCCAGCGTTTTTGGCCTAGATCGGTTTGTTGTAAAATGTGCTTGGTGTGGTTCTATATACATATGCATATACATATATATGATATATATCAGCCGGTCCTTTTTCAGAGCTCCTTCAGCGCCCGGTTGACGTTTCAGGGCGTTACTTACCTCAGATCTTGCCCGACGGGGGAGGTTGTGATTCCATTCCACTCAGAGAGCATGGTTTGTTTTCGCAAACGGCTAGGAACTTCCCACCAAAAACGGGGTTCAAACTTTTTGACTTTGGCTTCCTCCCAGCAACCGCTGTAAAAGGCAACCACAAAAAAATAACAAAACACTCCAATGCTTGAACAGCTGGACGTCGAGCTGGTCACCACTTGGGAGCGCTTGGAAGTGGAGGGGGATGGAGGGTGTGTGAAGTCTACTGGTTACACAACCCACAGCACTCACAGAAAACTCAAAGAACAGCTTGAACGATTGAAAGTTGAAAGTACACGTGTATAACTGCAGTAATCAACCCAATCGGGGAAATCAAACGTGATATATATATATATGTATTACTATGTTCATACATGGGCAAAGCTTTTGGACCCTTTATCATTCATTGTAAAGCAGTCTTCCAAAGGGCCAAAGGGTCCGATATGGTGCAATCAGAACGTTTGCCAGGGTTGCATTTGCAGAATGGTACAAGGGCGACCTTCCCACATGGAACCACCTACTTTAAAGGGCTCAACCATGAACCGCTTGGATAGGTGACCCTAGAACAACGGCACGACCCTTCTGGGGGTTCCCTATCATTCCCCTTGAAGCATAACTCACCCAAAGGAAACTCACCTTAGACCAGCCAAATACGTGATGGATCAAAATCGCCAAACATAATGTCCTAAGTCTGTTGGTCATTGGTTAAGGGCTTTTTTTGGGGGGTTGTTCAAAGGAAACCTGAAGGGCCATCGCGTTTTCATTTGGTCAATGTTCAACCCTAGACCTAGGATTTACAAGGCTTCTTGGTCCATCAAATGAGTCAAGGGCAAACATGTAAGATGGTCTCAAACCTCGACCCAGTTTGGGGTGTTCCCCGTTGTCAAACAGACCCTCCACGCCTTCGCTGGCACACCTGAGACCCGGCTGTCCACCAACATACGGCTGCTCACCGTGGACAGGGGCTCCACGTACCCCGCAGGAGCGACCTGCCGAGCGGCCCTGGAAAGAGCTATTGAATTTCAAACCCCTGCAACCACTAGAAGCCTTCACACTTCCTGAGGATTGTTGAGAAACAGCCATGAATGTTTTGACTTATTTCCGGGTCTATTAGGTGGGCTTAAGGTGAGAAAGAGTGTTTAGTGTGGGGTTAGGGTGCTTGCTTGCTTGCTTGCTTGCTTGCTTGCTTGCTTGCTTGCTTGCTTGCTTGCTTGCTTGCTTGCTTGCTTGCTTGCTTGCTTGCTTGCTTGCGGTGGAACAATCAATCGAGTCCAATGGGATACTTTGTTTTGCGGTTAAACAACATAAACAGTACAGCACCCGTTTAACATCCGGAAGCTGCCTTCACAAGAAATTAGGACCTCAGTTGGGTAACAGGGAAGCTGAGAGGGTCCTACGAAAAAATGCAAAGGTGCAACTATTATTGGTTTCATTGAAGTGACATCCTCGAAATTTAAAGCGAACAAACAGAGTTGTTGGATGCATCTGAGACATCCATCCGACTGCACAGAACAAGGGGCTTTCAGGGGAGCAACCGCTGAACATAGACAAAAAGCTACTAAAACGGGTCTCCTATTTTGGCACTCCTGCCCTGACACCATGGCAATGAACACTCCCACTCACGAGCATCGAACTTGCCAGGTTCTTGTGTCAAAATAGCGGAACCTCCAAAACAGAGCGGTTTCCTGCTAGCTCCCCTTTAACCCTCCCCCCCCCTAAAAAAGCGCCCAAGTGGCCTCCTTTTGGTTTCGCTTTACACACACCCCCAAAAGGAAAATGGGGTCCCCTCAACAACAAGCGTCACTTTAAGACACCTGCCCGCCTCACAGCCTGGCTCCAAAGTGCAGTTGGCGCCCACGTATGCGCCAGCACCCACCTTCACCTCACGGTGGGCAGCAAGTCTTGTGAATTTAAAGTGGGATTCCCATCCCTGTCCATTTGCAAAAGCATGATCCCTGTGAAAGAAACTCATCATGGGTGACGTCGCACACCCCTGAGTAAAGCCGTTTTGATTTGCCCAGATTTATAGGGGACTCCTTGGATCAGAAATGGCCTGAAAACCCAACTTTACAAGCATGCTTCACCTTGCCCAGACTGGGCGCTATCCTCGCCAACTGAAAAGACTTGGAAGCTGCAGAACCCTTTGGGCTGATTCGAGGGAATCCAACAAGGGAAAGGTGCCACAGAACCAATAACCTGCAAATAAGCAGCATGACAAGAAATTCGAACACCTTTGTTTTCTTCCGGATTCATAGACAAAGTTATAACCTCGAACCCGCGAAGACGCAGTGGGGCTCTTTTTCTCTTGATCAACAAAAGGCTTCATGTGCACAAAGTGAAAAGAGCGACGTGCTCCCCTCACAGGCTCGCCTGGGATTTTGTCGCTCCCAGGGGCCATCTCCAAAATGGAAAATCCTCGGCCACAGCCCAAGCCTTTGTTCACTCATCTCATCGACGGATCCGAGGTGATGCCGTTCATGCAAAAGCGGCAAGGGCGTAGTGGAAGCCCTCGGATCGTGGTCGAGTGCTCGTCCATGGGGATGCAGTTGTTCGCCGAGTGGAGATAGCCATCAGAGCCCCTCCACGCGGTCCCATTCCTTCCCCTTTGCTGATGCGCTCCCAGCCAGCAGTTCGGGCAAGGGAGCATGGCCCGGATGCCTCGCGCAACCGCACCTCGCAATCCCCAGCAATCCCGAGTCCAGTGATAGCGCTCCCCGAAGGACGTGACGTGGTAGAGCTCCACCATAGCCCCCCGCCGTGCCTCCGGTTCCGGTTCACCACCTCGTTCAGCTTCTTCACGTAGCTGCCTCAGCTCCCGCTGCAGTGGGTGTTGACCTCGCCTGCGAAGGCCATCAGCAGATGATGACGCCGATTCCGTGGCCGTGCTAGGCGAGCGACGCTCAAACGTCATCACCTCCTCCTCAGCTCCAGAGCTTTCTCGCACGCTCAACTCGCGCTGTTGCTGTTCCAGCCGGCGCTCCAAACGCTCCTCCTCTTCTCTCTCCTCCTGCAACCTCCTGACTCGCTCAAGCCGGAAGGTCCGGTTGACCTCTTCCCGAAGCCTCCGTTTCATGTCCTCCTCCGTCTCCACGGCCTCAGTCTGCACTTCTCGCACTTCCGGGCCTGCAGGTTCCGGCAGCCGATTCCTCTGCTCCAAGATCGCCCGCACGGTCGATTCCACGATCCTGTAGCACATGATGGCAATGAAGGACACCACCACCACGAAGATCACGAGCTCATAGCCGCCTTCACCTTCTCGACGTCCATCCTGGGCTTCTGTCTGCACCAACTGCGTGCAGAGGATCAAACCTCCAAGGCCCATCCCTCCACTCGTAGTAGGCGTAGTCGGCCAGGATCTCATAGCGTTCCGCCTCAATCTCACCGACGAGGTCTGCGTGGGCGTTACACCCTGATCCCACTCCTCCAGTCCACCTTCATCACTTTCCGAGAGGGTCCACGAAGCCACCATAGAGCTCCTGCACGTCGAAGATGCCATAGAGCCCGATTCCGAAGTAGCCCCTACATCCCTGACCTCATCACACGTGGCCAGGAAACTCTGGTCCCCCTCCCAGACCGTAGGACTCTGCTCCTCGTCCTCGACGTCCAAGCGCTCTTCCAAAACCAAGCGCCCTGAACGCCAAACCTCTCCATCCGCGATCGGGTCACGCATTTTCCTTCGGCGCCAATGCCCTGACCTTGACGGCCTTCGTCTCTTCCAGAGCACCTCCACGATGCCCTTCTTGATGCGGCTCATCGCCTGCCAGCAGCAGTCTGGCCTTGTCCAGGCCGATCTCATTGACCTTCTGGGCCAGCGCCGCCACACCTCCAATCAACACCAGTTGGCCCACAGCCTTCATCTGCCTGACTTGTGGAGAAAGACCACCACTCGCCATCAGCAGGCCACCGGCAACAACCGCCAAGAGGCATTTGACCATGGCCTCCTTCTGCTCCTCCACGTCCTCATGCTCCACGACCTTGGGGACAGACTTCAAGCCCACTCCCTCACAGAACCGTTCCAAAGCCGCCACCGGCTGCCCACAATCTCGTACCCACCCGGTGTGTGAGGCTGAACTCGCCCTCCCTAATGGCCTCCGCCAAGCAGTTTGCTCTGATGCGCAAATGACGGGTGCGCCAACCTCCTCCCTGGCCTCCGGCCAAGATCAGCGCCGCGCGGTTGTCATTGTAGATCTCCATGCTGATCGGGACCTCGAAGAGCTCCAGCAGCGCCCTCACTGAGCGACCCGCTTGCGCCCCTTCCATAATCGCCGTCAGCTCCGCCTCCGCCGTAGATAGAGCAACCAGAGACTGCTTCTTCGACTCCCACTGCACTGGGCAGCCCGCAAAGAGCAGTATGATGCCCGTGACGCTGTGCTGCTCCTCCACCCCAAACGAAGCATCCACCAGCACCTCCAAAGTGCCAGCCTCCCGGGGTGTCCGCCGAAACATAGTCGGGTCTGCATCCACTGGCACCTCCTTGGTGTAGACCAGCTTCTTCTCCCACGACGTGCTCAGGTAGGCGAGAACGTTGGCTCCGAGCTCCAGTACCCACTCCGGGTTCCTCGTCGCCCTCGACGACATCCTCTGAACCGCCGCTGCAAGATCCGGTCTGGTCTTCCCTGAGAGCCACAACAGCTCTCCAGTGAGCCGTTGGGCCTCCCGCACCGTCCGCAAAGCTGGGGCAGGGTCCTCCTTTTCCTCCGGGACCTTGATGTGCGTAGCTCGCGCCACCACCCCATTCCTCTGCAACAACTCCTGCGCGTAGCAGTGCTGGTGGACCTCGATGTCCCCCTTCTCTGACTTCTGGATCTCCATGCCCAGGAACTTCATAGCGGGGCCTCCGGCCTCCACATACTCCGGCGGGCTAGCCGGCCAGGTCGCATCCAAGACCTGAGCAAGCTTCTCCGCGGTGCTCCTCTCCGCCACCACCAGCAGATCATCCACATAAACCGCCAGGTAGCCCAGAGGGGGTCCCGCAAAGAGTACACCGCCCTTCCCGTCTGCTTTCCACTCCTTCACGACCCAGAGGTTCGGGTCTGCCAAAGGAACCAGGCCGAGCTTCCTCTCCTCCCCCGAGATCACCTGCGTCCAGCGAAGATGCCTCAGCTGGTTGTCCCTGGGATGCCCAATCCCTTGGCGCCGTTGTGAGGCCGTACATCGCCCCCGTGACCACCCAAACCTCGTCGTGGTCGATCAGGCCCGCATCGTAAAGGATGCGAGGTGGCTGAACGATGATCAACTCGTCCTGCGAAGTGGGTGCCAACAGGAAGGCCGAGCGAATATCCAGGGAAAGGATGTCCCAGGACTCCAGGGCCGATTTCCTCAAGATGGCCCTCACTTGCGTAGAGTCCGCCCCTGAGGCGTAGAGCTCGTCAGCGCTCCGGTCAGCCATGTAGTTCCCGCAGCACACGATGCGTGACTTCCGCTCCTGCTCCCGCCTTCCGGCTAAAGACTCCCATGGCAGGGATCATCTCCACCACCTTTCCAGCTGCTTTTGCCTCAACCATCATGGCGTCGGCCTCAGCCTTGGTGACCCTCTGAATGGCCTGGTTGGAGGTGAAGTTCTCCAGCTCCCCCTTCATCGACGGAAGCCAGTCACTAAGGTTCCTCTTCGGGAGATCATCCTGGTCTGCAAGAACACCTCCTCAGCGGCCTGCATGACCTGCTCCTCCTGCTCCTTGACCGCCTTCAAGTAGGCGTCCTCCAAAGTCACCCTGATCTCCGCGTTCTCAGCATCCAGCTCACGGATCAATCCCACTACCGACTCCCCCATCTCCGTGTCCTGCTCGAGGATCTTAAACTCCTCATTCGCCAGGGCATCTCCTTGATGAAGCCGCCGTTGTAGCGCTTGCACGCCCAGTGACTTGACCGCACTCTTGCCTCGGATCCTCCTCGGTGGATCTCCTAGGCCTCGAAGTGGGCCAGCTCCTGGATCTCGCTCCACCAGTTCCAGCAACTCCGGAACCGCTTCCTCCTCCCCATGCTCCTTGCATGGCACCAGATCGTCGGTGTGGAGGTACTTCTTGTCCTCGGTCTCCGCGATGTGGCCACCAGAGGTCAGGCTCATCGACACATCCGGACCTCTCAGCCAAGCACGTTTCTTCCGGGCTCTCCAATGCCCTTGAAAGTCATCCCATGACTTAGTCTTGACCATCACCTCCATGTTGTAGGGGAGTAGCTCCGGCGTGATGTAGCCCAGTGACCGCAGCTGCTGACGGCCCCGCCGTTCTCCGACCTGGCGCGCCAGCATAGGCCAATGGTCCTCATCGAGCTTCAGGGCCTTCAACAGGACCGTGACACCCCTGCGAACCATTCCCACTTCACTTTCCGCACGCCCATTGGACTTCCAGTCCCCGCCCGATGTATAGGTGCGGAGAATGCCTCTGTGGGCGCACCATCGCTTGTTGGCCTTGCTGGCCAGTTCCCCGGCTCGGTCCGAATGGATCCGCCGCACCTCCAAATTCAAGTAGTTGAGGCGCGCCACCATGCGAGCCATGGCCAGTGTGATGGCCTCTCCATTTCTTGACGAAAGAACCTCCACGAGGGTGTAGTTCCGCACTTCCACCTCTTCCGGCTCTACCATCTCCTCCCATTTCTCCATGTCTCCTGGATCACCCTCAACGTGCCCAGGAAGATCATCTCCCCCCTCCTCCACCTCCGGTAGAAGAGGACCTTCAAGATCGCCTTCCTCCACGGCAACCTTCTCCTTAGCAAGGATCTCCCCCAACCCGGGCACCAAAGGAACCAGCTCTCTGCTTTTCCTGGCGACGGGGATCGTGAAGACTCCCACCATCATGTAGCGGCTCCTTGCCTCCTCCATATCCTTCCCAGGGCGGAATGGCCCGCACAAATCCAGGGAAAGCGTAAACGTGTCAGGTGCAGGGA